AGGGAGATATTCACCAAACAAGGGTCAAAAATAGCTCATCTCGGGACATAAATTTCTCGGTCCCAGCTCGTGCTATATGCTTAATTTTTTTTTGTTGGAAAGAGCATGTCAAGATGCACAACTTGCCAAGGCCCTTTTTTTAAAATTCTTACTTTTTATGTGAAAAAAAAAGTGACAAGTTGAAGGTATCAAAAAACGGGGGGTCTACCGATATAAATATCTTTAAAATAATAAAAAAAAAGGGCCTTGGCAAGTTGTGCATCTTGACATGCTCTTTCAAACAAAAAAAAATTTAAATATGTTGGACGGATCCGGACTGAGAAATCCTTGTACCAAAATCAAAAAATCATAAATCGAGAAAAAACGAAAAACATTTTTTAATTTTTCAAAAAACAGCTGGTTTTTCGAATAGGGGTTGACGAAAATCTTCGAAAATTTTGGACAGAAAGGAGATATCGAGGAAAACTTTTTATCAGTTATGAAAGAGCAGATCACGGGCTATCTTTCCATGCATTTATCTCCATTTCGACTTTTTTGACGAAAATTGACTTTTTTTGAGTGCGGGGGGGGGGGCCTTAAAGAAAAATCTATGTTGTTTCTCTTAGTTTGATTCTAGGATAATCTAATCTCAACAGATTGGTCATAGTGGAAAAAAATGTTCACATTTCAAGAATACTTGTAGGAGAAAAGCAAGATAAGTCTTTATTTTGTTCTAATGAAGGCTTTGTTATGATATATTCATTTGCATGTCCTCACTAATATGTATCATTGTTTTGTTTTTTCTAGAAGTATAGACATTTGAGATTAATCTAACGAGTTTGATATACAATATCATACAAAAATATATCCTTTTTAAATAAATATAATTGAATAAAATAAAAAGATTATTTTTTTTCCAACATACTTTGAGTAGTTTTGATATATTTCCAATAAAACTATCTACATCATTGATATGTTCAATAACTTCTGAAGCAATAATAGCATCATATTTTTCTATTTGTTCAATATCCTCACATAATTCTTCAAGTGTCACTATACTAACGAAAAGAATTAGATAAAAACAAAATAATAATTTTAAATCAAAATAAATAACAAACCATGTTTATATTTAAGATTTTCTTTTAAAGAAAGATCAGCATGATATTCAGCTGTAGAAATATTTTCTGAAACAGCATCAATACCTAATACTGAAGCACCAAGACGTGCTAAAGGCTATAGAAAAAAAAAACGAATCAGAAAAGAAGGTTGTTTTTTTTTATACACAAACTTCAGTTAGAATACCACCACCACAACCAATATCAAGTAATTGAAAATTTTTTAAAGGTTTTAGAATATCTTTTATATCTGATGATGATTGAAAAAGTTGTTCACGAATAAATGGTATTCGAAGTTGATTAAGTGAATGTAATGCAGCATATGCTCCTGTTTCATTCCACCATGATGATGATAATTGACGAAATCGATTGATTTCTCCTGGATCAACAGAAGTTTTTATAGATAACTGACGAGATAATAATGTAATAGACCTATGAAATGATCAAAGAATTTTTTAGAACAAAAGATTAAAATAATAAAATTAACCTAAATTGAGGAATAAGTCTGATGAAATGACGATATGAAATAGACATGGTTGAAGAATTGATATAGAATGTTTAAGAATTTTTCATTAAAGAAAACGTACTTAGTAGTTCTTATGAATGAATCATCACATGCTGTTAAACTCACTATTGGTTGAAAGAGACCTATGCAATGTATTTATTTCTTGTTCGCTAGAGGTCGAATACATATGATTATTTCTTATTTTCGTTTTGATATATAGATCTCTTATTACATATTGTACATTCCTGTTATTTTTATTTTGAATGGTTTTTATTCGATAGTCGTTTGCCTAAAAACAAGTTTTGAGATAGATAGAATATTTTTTTCTTGACTTAAGAATGAAAATATTTTGTTTGTTTTTACGCTTTTTAAATGAAATCAAAAAAATATTTTTGTGGAAATTTTTAATTGACTATTATACTGAATATAAATAGGTAAAACATGAAATGTCGAGAATAGTCAAGTCATGCTCGTTTTCTTTTCGGTGGCATTATATCATACAATCAAATTTCAAGACGAAGACTACGCTAAATACATGCAAGGAGAAAATGACATATAAGTCTAGCCGTAATAAATATATTTGAATATATTATGCTATGATCTGTCGAAATTCAATAAGAACTTTGGTTTATCTAATTACTGCTGTCTTTGAAATACATTAGTCATTTATGATATTTTCTTCTTGTAATATTAAAACGAACGAAATTATTTCTTATGAGAAAAAGGAAAATTATCATCAATCACTAATAATGATAGTAATGTGTTTGCCATATTCTTTTTTGTTTGCATAAATTTTCAATGAAATGACTAACAGCAAAAAAAAGAAGAAAAAGTGTTGTTATAGGCATGAGATGACATGCAAGAGAATAGAAATCGACTGAATATTTGCATTCGAAAATTGAACTCCTTTACTAATTAATGTTGGGACATAAATAACAATACAAATGAGTTACCATTGAATGATCCAGACATAGCAACATATACAAATAGATTTTCCAATCAATAAATACTGAACGAATTTGTTGACATGAAAGAATATGTTCTTCATTTAATGATAAGTCTGCATTTTGAGGAAGATGATTTGTAAACATTTCTTTTTTCGAATTTTGTATTAACCCTGAAGAAAACAATGATGAAGAAATTTATAACACTTTAAAACGCATTTATTCTATTCATATTAAACAGTTTCTAGTACATAACCCATAAGTAAATAAGTAAGTATTTCTCATGATGTACCTGGCGTTTCTTCAAAAAAAAAAAAACAATTCATCACCATCTTTTGAACTTAACTAGATGACCTAGGAGACTAATGCCATAAATCTGTGAAAATAATTATAAGAAAATATCAATATAATATCATATTCTGCCAGATAGTAAAATGATGTAATAGAATGTGACCATTGGAAACAAATTGTATTCACATATATGTCATCATGAAAAGTAAAATATTGTTTCTGAAACAAAAACAATTAGCTTGTGTTACGTCCCAAAAAATCATGTAAGCTTTCAGTATTGTTCGAAAGATATTTATTTTCTTGTTGAAATTCTCTTTACTACAAATGTAATGCTTGCACAAAGCTTTTATATATACTGTAGTAAAAGAGAAATATTACAATCAACATTAAAATCATATACTGTCGGAGTCTATATCAAGTATTTGATTAACTTTTATTATTGATTTACATTGCACATTCAACTCGTAAAACTACTGTACAGTTATGGTTTCAAAAACACTCTAGTAAATAACTCATCGTAATGGTTCTTAGATGGTTATCATTTTACCAGAGGAAACCTCAAAATGTGTTTAGAAAACTTGAAATCATTTCTGTTTCACGTGTAATATTCTAACATGTTCGTGTCGCATAGAAAGATTCGAGGATGGCGAAAATCTGCTCTGCCATAGAGATAATCATTTAAGAAACATTCTAAAGCGAAGAAATACGGTGATCAATAATCTTCGTTGCGATCGTCGTTCATGTCTCAATAAGAACAATCATCTATTCTGAATCCCGTTTTCATATCGTTTTTACGCGTAAATGAAATGTCTTAAAACCATAATTAGACAATCTCCAATATTCCATAATAAATAAATCTTGATAATCACATTTTCATCCTTTTCTTCTTCAAATTCATTTCTTTTTCTTAATATGGAACCTTAGTTGACGTTTTTGAATTATTTCGTGCATAAAGATATTTTATTGAGACTTATTCGATGATATGATGTATACCATTCAAGAGAGTCTTTACATCGTACTACACAATAATCAATATGACTCTAAATACCAAGTTATCAGGGTACAGTAAACATTCTTTTTCATATTTTCCATTCGTCACTTTTCTCATAGATAAGTATTATGAAGGATAGAACTCATTCCTTTGAATTCTACATACCGAGTAAGAAGTTTATCCAACTTCTCGTAAGAATGTTCCTCGCCTCATATCGAAACCAGAGTTCGTAAATATGTAAAAATGGCTTTTGTAAATCTCTTATTTGAAAAGATGTCCTTGAAATTAAAATATTTTATCAATGAACTAATTTATTTGGAAAAATTTCGCATTCTAATTTCATATATTATATGAAAAATTATTGTACTTATGGATGTTTCTCTATTAAATGTGTACTATAAAATTTGGCTTGGCAGTATTTATTTCTATATACGAATCCTATTGATGAAACAAAACGTCTTATCATATTAGAAAGTATACATATGTGTTGTCTAGAACCTACAATAGGAGTATATAAGTAAGTTAAACTGTATACAGCAAAAAGTGTTGTAAATAAGACCATGGACAATGAAAACATGGCTCTGAACAGCGATATTGACATTTCGATAAACAGAGTAGGTCACCGTTTTGCGGCAGAAATTAATTCATATTTATATCCATTTCAGGTCGTTTAAGACATCAGTTCTGACTACTGAAATGATCGTTCGAGATCAACCATCGAATTCTCGTTTGATTTTAGAGTTCAAGAAAAAATACATTTTTTTATTATTGAAAGAATAAACTAAATGAAATACGTTCGAATCAGAGATCTATGGTGTCGTTAAATTTAGTCGTTTGAGTAAAACATTTAAAAATAACTTCCACCAGTCCTACATCTATCCTGTTAATCTTATTATACATTTCAGTATATGACTTAAAAATAGATGAGCAAAATGTGCTTTGGGACACAACTGTATACAATACTTGATTTTAATATAGTAAACATATGTAGCAAAGATAATCGCGTAACTAGCAGACCAGCAGTGTTGAGGATAAATGCCATTGATATCATAATCATATCCCAAATTATCATAATAATCGACAAAAATCTTGATAATTCAATAATATCCGTGATAAAATTCGATAAAATTTCTTTTAGCATTTATGGCAGAAAAAAAATTGGTAAGCTTCTTTTTTCCGCTTAAGTTAAACAATATTCATAGTATAAGCTGACAAAATCAATGAAATAGATCAACGTCGCCCAATTACATCTCATTTGAGATGTGATAAGGCTCTCTTTAACATCACTAATCTTTTGTATTTTCTGAAAAAAAAACACCTTCCAAATCTTTTTTTCTCATTGTTTTACTATACAACTAATGTCAAATTAAACTAATATAAAATATTCATTGATATTGATTCGATTTAAAAAATATATTTACTCTAGTAAAATGAACAATGGTATCAAATGTCCATTTAATTTTCTTATAAGAATTCGCATTAGTTTCCTATGAATTTTGTTCGATATTGTGACATCAGATTCGCTGTTTACTGAGACACTATTACTATTAAGCGTTCCTCAATCATTCATTATTAAACTAACCGAAATCAGCATCGCTATTTCATAGAATAACGCCTACATTACAATTTATGATCAATGCAAGTTGATTCTCGTCTGTGTTCCGTTTTTACAAAGCAACTCAATTTTTTTCTTTCTCTTGCTTTATGTCATGATGGATATTCGATCCGGAAAATTAATACAGAACACAAAAAACGAAATATGCAGTTTAACATTACCATTCAAAAAGTCACGATTGTTGATAATTAATTCATAAAAATCGATTCAAAATTTTGTAACTTTTATTAACTGTCGTATTTAAAACAACTGTACAAAGATAGTAATATCTCAACCAAAAAAATGCCATGCTATGACATCTCTGTTTTTATAAAAGCAAAAACAATTTTTCATTGCATAAATTAGATATTATTTTAATGTTGAAATTCTTTTTTTATTTTCTAGCAATTTAACAAAGCATAAAATAGCCCGATATTATATAAAGATATGAAGAGAATAATGTCAAAATTTTACCAAAACTAAAAATATTTCGTATTGTCAAACATAGTCTATTTATGATTGATGACATACGATTTTGAATAAAAATAGACGCAATAACGCCTCGTCTTTATCCTTTTCTTTTTTAAATTCTATTTATCACTAGTCAAATATTTTGCTTTGCATTAAACGATTTTGATAACATATTTCAATACACTATTTCACAGTGAAGAAAAAATAGGTAGGTATTTTCATGAAAGAGGTGTGATCATCGACACGAGAGTTTACCTAACAAATATTTTGTACGCATGATAATAAATTAAACATCGTTTGAACTAAAGCGTTGTTTAAATCGATATATAGGATGGGTAAAAATATCTTTCCGAGAGGGAAGTAACGCTGTGTTTTTAAATATTTTCATAATGTATCCATTCGTTCAATGAAATAATGAAATGAAAAATAAAAACACTTTTTCTTTCTATTGTTGTTTGCTTAGAATATGACTCAAGAAGAAAATAAAGTAATATGGTCTTGGAAATCAAATAAGAATCCATGGTCATTAAAAGAGCCTGATGAATGGACTCCATTTTCTTCTATAAATAATAGTCAGATTGAACAAGCTTTTTTAGCAAAACGAAATGAAATAATTATTGATAGAAATTATAAAATTGATTTTACTGCGTTTATACAAACAAACATAATTGATCCAGATAAGCAACGACCTATTCGACGATGTTCAAATGATAAATGTATTATATCTCATTATCGTCGTGAACGTTTTAATTTTGTTCAACCAATAGAATATTCAATAACAAATGATACTCCATATCATGGATCGACTTTTATTACTGATTGGTTAGTAATGTTTACTAAAGCTACATTAAAGATAAAATTATCACAATTAATTGATGCACTTATCAATGGAATTTTAATTGAAGGTGAAATAGCCGGTAGTCTTGATCAAGCTCAACATTTAACAAAAGAAATTCGAACAATAAAAAAGAAAACTATTGAAAGTTTACAACAATGTTGTGCTCGATTATATACAAAACCATGTTTTTTATTTAAAGTTGTTAATGAAACATTACGTGATAATGATCATACAAAATTAACAACTCTTGGTCCATTTTGTTATCTTTTATTTAATTATATTGGTGAACAACATGATGATTATTTATCAATACGAAAACAAGTAAAACAATTTATTAAATCTAAAAAACATTATCAATTTATAACTGTTTATCGTGGTGAAGAATTAGCTCTAAACGAAATTGATAAATATCAACAAGCTGTTGGAAAAGATTTTTCGTATAAATGGTCATCATTTATTTCAACATCAAAATCACGTCAAGTTGCAGAAATGTATGCTTCAAATGTTTTATATGTTATTGAAATACAACGAAAATTATCAAGTGATCAATATGTTGATTTATCACCTTTTTCATATGTTACAGAAGAAGAAGAAATTCTATTACGACCTGGTGTTCGATTGAAAATCGTTAAGTATGAATTCGATTCAAGAACAAAACGATATATTTTTTATGTACAAATTTTACCATCATTTATATCAAATATAACATAGTGTCAATAAGAATATTTTATGAGATGAAAATCAATGAACGAAAAAAATATTGTAGATAAAAATAATATTTAGAATAAAAATTGAAATTTATCTAAAAGCAAAACATTAATGGATAAGAATATTTGCGTTTTTTTTTTCTAAATATTTAGAATTTTTATTATTTTTTTCTTCACTCACATCAGCAGCGAAGCGAAGACTTTGGACTAGGAAGAGCTCGACCCTCCCCCTATGGCGCCGTTACTAACTCATATCTATTTTTTGTTTTTGAAAATTTTTTGTTATCACAAGAATCTTATCTGTTTATTTGCACAGCCGACATATTCTCATTGGAAAGCCATGCGACTTGGATAGGCTGAAACATATTCTACATCCAGATAGCTTAGACTTTGGTAGGCTTAAACATTTGTTGACGTGCCATTCAATTGATAGATTTATGTAGTGCATGAAAATTTTTGTAAAAACGTCAAAATTTTCCATAGCTTTCAGAAGCGAATAGGTACATTTTAATAGTGAAATAAACTTAGAAAATATTCTTGAGAAAACATTGAACTTATATGGATTGACAAGAATACAAAGGAAAATGCTGAAGAGGAAAATATTGAAAGAAAAGAATAGGTGAAACCTAAATATCGAGGGTGCATGTGGTTTTGGAGTGGATAGGGATGTGGGTATGTGTATGAGTAAAGATATGGGAGTAAAGGAGAGACCTATACACTCATACCCATATCTGGCAAAACACGTAATTAAGACTTGTACATTTAACTTTCTCTTTTCAAATTGCCTTTTTTCATATGATCGAATAAAGTTCTTCTCGTTGTTAATATTATTAAACAAATTTCATTTTCGACATTTTTTTTTGTATTTTTCCTATTTTTTGAAGTGCATGGATTGCTTGACACAAGCTGCGAATTTTTTCTGAAGCTTACCAACTTGATACAGTGCAAAATGTGAGTTAGAAATAAGAAGCATTATTGACTGTCTTTTATTTGAATGACATAATTAGATTCGAATTTCTCTCATATTCCTATTCTTAACTTTCCGGTGAGCGGGAGGGCGGGGGTGGCTTATAAAGATTATGAAGCCTAGCCTAGATTCGAAGAGTCCACTATCAATGTCGACAATGTATATTCTATTTTCAATTCATTTTTATAGAAATTATTTACTGTTATATTTTCTCATACTTATGTCAAGGCGCCCATTGACTTAGAGGTTTTGCCTTTAAAATATGCACAGCTACCGTAACAAATAGTATTAGATCACTCATGTAATTATCATTTTCGGATATGTTATTTAACCACAATATCCACAAGAATCATTCAATTTATTAGTTATCTATTCGAAAATGATTTGCTTCTATACTCATAATGATCGCTTCATTTTGTATGAGCAAAGAAGTGAAAGCTTGCATTATGAAATATCTAACGGGTGGGCCAAAAAGAACTGCCCTCTCAGCATTTTAAAGATTTCTCCTCTATTATCTGTGTGATTAAAGCTCTGTTTATCATCAAAAGATAGCGCTTGAAATTCTCTACAAAACCATANTGAAATGCAAAGTGTAGCCATTTATTATGGGACACCCGTTATTTATATTTTACAGCGGTGTGTATGTCTTTTGTTTTCGAATGTTTTCAAATATATCTGGAACTGTTTGGGGGTCTGAGTATATATGGTTTTGTAGAGAATTTCAAGCGCTATCTTTTGATGATAAACAGAGCTTTAATCACACAGATAATAGAGGAGAAATCTTTAAAATGCTGAGAGGGCAGTTCTTTTTGGCCCACCCGTTATGATAGCTGTAGCAATATTGATGGTTCAAATATATGGGCTGATTTCGGCAGGAAAATACATTCCGATTAACAAAGCGTTCAAATTTTCTGATCACTCTCAATCAACCTGTTGTTCTTTGCAGACGATTCCATAATTGGGGTCCAAAATTATCGAAGTTTGTATTTGTTTGTTGAAATCAAAGTGTAAAGTCAAAAACAATGTCTATCTGTTTTTTAAAAACAAAACCAAGTTTATTATGTATTCTGCATAAGTAACTAAAACTTTATACATTTACCATTGAAACGATTCAAATATATCTGTATTTAAGTGACATCTTTCTCAAAATCTTACTATTTGCAAATGGATTAGTGCGTATATTCGTCCATTAGGATCATAAAAAATATTTGGAGTCTACAGCTATGGATTTTTAATCAATGATTTATTGGGCAAACGCATAAGTATCTCTTTTCTCCTTGTAGAGTAGCTCTGTACACAAAAGAAAAAAAATCAAAACATGTGGTGTCTTCATTTGCATTCTTCACTACCCTTGTGATTAATTTTTAATATTAATTCTGTTGTTTTTTATAATAATAAGAAACTGAATAAAGTATGTTGATAAATACTTTTGCATTGTTTTTCTTGTTACTTACTTTTATATATTTAATTTTTATTAAAGTTTGAATCAAATAAAATGTTTATCAAAATATTTCAAGTACTTTTTCTTATATCAACTATTGCTGCTGGTATGTCACCGGAAGAAAAAGCTCAACTTCGTTTACAAGTTATCGATATGTTTAAACATGGTTTTGGCTCCTATATGGTAGAAAATATAATCATATTTTTCTTTTGTTTTTTTAATTTTATTTATAATCATCTATTCATAGAAATATGCTTATCCTGCTGATGAATTAATGCCATTAAGGTGAAAAAATTTCTTCTACAAAATAAATTTCATATGTTTTGTTTATAGTTGTAAAGGCCGATATCGTGGTTCAGAACCTTCTCGAGGAGATATTGATGATCCTCTTGGAAAGTAAAGAAAAATTCTTTCAAAAAATCAAATATCTATTTGTTTTCATAATCTTCCTTATTTAGTTTTTCTTTAACACTTGTTGATAGTTTGGATACATTAGCGGTGCATAATAGAAAATATTTTAATGAATTGTTTTGTAAAATTTTATGTTATAGGTGCTTGGAATGTTCGATGAATTTGAACGTGCTGTTCGTCAAGTTATTCAACATGTATCATTTGATCGTGATGTTGTTGTTTCTGTTTTTGAAACCAATATTCGTATGATTGGGTAATGTAGTACTGAAAATTATAGAACAATGTATCATTTACGAGATTAGTTTGATATTTCATTCATCTTATCATTGATGAACAACAGGAGATAGAAGACTAATTCAAAACTTTCTAATAAATTTTAGCAATCTTTTATGATAACTGCACTATCATGCCATTTGTATCGTTTTACAAGAAATCAAATTTATTTCGTTTGACTTTTATATGTTTGTACATTTTTTACAATACTAAGTAGAGAAAGTAGAAACATATTAGAACATATGAATAGATATCTTCACATTATTATAGTTATTTTCGTTGTTTTTAGTACCTGTAAAAGAGCTAAGGAGGCAAAGTACGAATGTCACAGTAGCCTAATAATTAGTAAAATAAATTTAATTTCATATGGATCTCTGTTGATATTTGTGTTTTTTGGATGACTTGTATAAACAGATACAAATGATTGAAGAGCAGTAACTACTATTATATGGATAGTGAATAAAAATAATAACATGAGACGAAAACACGTCACTAACGAGAGAATCTCTTGTGATGATTCATTTCGATTTTAATGATTTTTTTTGTCTATAGTTACTACATAATGTTGTAATAAAAATTCTAAAAGAATTTGTGTTCCTATTGAGATTTGACTAAGCTATCGAGTTTTTAATATGTCTATTTGCTAGAGACCCTGGTTTTCGTAAAACTCGTATTTTACTCTAAAATTTTATGCATATAGACAACTCAATTGGACTAGTTTTCTATAAAAAAATTGACAAATTTTCAACAAAGTCTTTTCAAGATAATGAGATTGTCTAGATATAGATCCTTTTCCATGATTGATGTATACGACATGAATTTTTTTTTCGAAATGCTTCATATCTCGAAAAGATTTTGTTCAAATTTTCTAATTTTTTTTTTTTTGAAAGCTAATCTAGTTGAGTTTTCAATCTGCACAAGATTTTAGATCGAAATTCGATAGTTGAGTCCAATCTTAACAAGAATTCAAATTTTTTAGCGTTTTTCTTAGAATACTATGTAGCATCTATCGGCAAAAAAAAATCATTGAAATCAGAAGAAGACATCGAATGGGATTTTTTTCATAAGATAAAACAGCGATGATTAATTATATCATTTTTAGAGGTCTTCTCGGTGGTCATATATCAGCAAAATACATTAATTCACATCATCCATTACGTTTATCTTGGTATCGTGATGAATTATTAGTATTAGCTCATGATTTAGGACTTCGTTTATTACCTGCATTTAATACAACAAGTGGTTTACCATTACCACGTGTTAATCTTCGTTATGGTATTGATTTAACATTATCAAAAAGTGAACGTGAACGTTTTACATGTACGGCATGTGCTGGTACATTAATATTAGAATGGGCAACATTATCACGTTTAACAGGAAATTATTTATTTGAACAATATGCTGATCGTGCTATGTCGTATTTATGGGAAAGACGACATCGACAATCAAATTTAATGGGTACAATACTTAATGTTCATTCAGGGGACTGGATTGTACGTGAATCAGGCATTGGTGCTGGTATTGATTCATATTATGAATATTTATTTAAAGCCTATGTTTTATTAGGTGAAAAAAATAATGATTATTTATCTCGTTTTCAACAACATTATTCATCAATAATGTCTTATGTTCAACAAGGTGTTGCTATGGTTAATGTACATATGCATCAACCATATCGTTTAGCTAAAAATCATATGGATGCTTTATTAGCATTTTGGCCTGGATTACAAGTTATGACAGGAGATTTAAAACCGGCTATTGAATTACATGAAATGCTTTATCAAGTTGTTAAAAAACATAATTTTTTACCAGAAGCTTTTACAACAGATTATAGAATACATTGGAATTCACATCCATTAAGACCTGAATTTGTTGAATCAACATATTTTCTTTATAAGGTAAATAGATATTTAACACAAAGAAGATTTCATTGCCCTTTATAGAAGCATTTTTCTTAGATCTTATATTTGAATCAGATATAATACCAACTATGTCATTGATCAATAGTGAACGATAACTGATAGATTATCATCTTAGCTTTTAAGTGTTTGCTCAATCATTTAGTAATAAAATAATACCTTGGATTTTTTTCACTCGGTAAAACCTCTAATCTTCCTTTTAAATAGAGATTATGTATTTTACTCAATTGATCCTTTGTAAATAAATATATATATCGTTGAAATTTTTTCTTTTGCAAAAAGGTGATAAATTTGTAGACATTTCGAATTATTTTCTTAGTTAATTAAATTTAGTCTAAGTTATATTTATTTACAATAATATGATATTTCGCTGATGTATATAATTTCTGCGCACAACATTTTACAAAAATACATTTTTTAAAAATAAACTGTACAACGTCATTGAATGCTTTTATTTGTACTTAAAAGTAGTTCGAAAATACGTCATCAATCTATAGCATTATTGTCATCATTTAATTCCGTTCTTACTATTAAAAAGAAGAAAAAAACAACTATCGAATCTATGTTTTAATTTTTTTGTAAACATGAACGGAATCAGATATTTTGAGCTTTGGTCCTAAGTCCGACTGAGAAAAGATGGTTTCGATCCTAACGGTATCGAAACATCTGACTGATATCTATATAAAAGTGTATTTTTTGTAAAATTTTATCTGAATCGAATTTAGAATTGATATCGGTAATATTGATTCCTATTCCAAAAAAAGTCAACTTTATCTATTCCCTACGGGACTAATTTCAAAAAATAAAAATTTTTAAATTTTCAGTTAAATGCAGTCATAATTCGCGAATAAAGAATATGAAAGTAATACAAAATAGGTTGAAATAAACCATGTTTGCCTTTCGAAAAACATCTATCTATATATATACTTATACCAAGCGGAGAGTGAGAGTTTACTCAAAAGCTCTTCAAAGAACCTATCATGACATCAATATACGACATTTTAAGATTTTTTTTCTTACAGATGGAAATTTTGAATTATTACCATTACATGAAATCCCATTTTATTTCTCTAATTCTGTATCGAAAAAAATGATATAAATCTGACCCCCAGTAGCTATTGACAGGACATGAATTTATGTCATTCATATTTAATGACATAAAAATTCATTGAGTAGTACGTAACCTGTTGATTTTATTAGTTTTCACAAATCGAAACATTTTCAATTTATCAATTTTTAAGGCTACTGGCGATCCTCATTATCTCGAAGTTGGTCGTACAATAATAACTAATTTAGAAAAACATGCTCGAGTACCATGTGGTTATGCTGCTTTATCTGATGTTTCTACTGGTCAACATGAAGATCGTATGGATTCATTTGTATTAGCTGAAACATTTAAATATCTTTATTTATTATTTGATTCTATTCCACATCGTTATATTGATATAGATCAATTTATATTTACAACTGAAGCACATCTTTTACCACTTAATTTATTATTATTTAAAATAAATGATACATTAAGAGAAGAATTTGATAAAAAAACAATATTATCAGCACGTCTTTATGAACAAAAAAATCTTTCATTAACAGAACGATTAAATGAAAAACGAGCAAAAAATAATCAATGTCCAGCTTTCGATGATCAATTTCAATCACATCAATATAAAGAACAATTAAGACGAAATATTCGAGGTGATCAAGATATGACAGAAACAGTAACAATATCATCAACTGGAATTGAAAAACGAATGAGAGAGTAAAAAAAAGTTTTTTTTTTCTTCAATTATTAAACTCAAATTCATTCAGTTTTATTATTTGAATACTTTGTCTTGTTTTTCGTAAACTAGCAAAGAAGTACTAACAATGTAAAATACAATAATGATAATTATAATTTTGCATTCACACAAGACTTTATTAAGAAGTCTTTCTTCACTCAGATTTTAAAATCAAAATTTTCTTCATTTTTTGTTATAGCTTCGAAATGTCATATAAATAAGAGCTCTTTGTCTACCACTGTCAGTTTTCGATTATTTTAGTTGAAGAAAAAAAGTTCTTTTATGAGTACTTTGGTCGCATTGAAGTGCGTTTTTGTTTTGTTTTCTTTAAAATGTTGTTCTTAAGAAATTCGAAAGCTTTGGAAAAAATAGTGTCATTGAAAAAGACATTTTTTGACAGTGTTTTGCTTCTCTTCATCTCTAAGAACGATATTTTTTAAACAAAAGAATAAATGAGTTATAGAATTTTACTGTTGGGCGAGATGGAAGAATTTGTTTGCGTTGTGGCTATGGAATAATCTTAGACAAATGACTGACGGCTGCTTGTCTTGAATCATTCGTCCGATAGCATGTTAACTAAGTTGTGACATATACTTGCCCACATGTTTAGTATGTGGTTAGTCAGACTGCATGGGAAATGCAAGCAATTGAGCACAAAAACTTAGCGTCAGGTTGACCATTTGTTCACCGCTACAGTTAGCATTAGTTGTAGGAAAGACATCGAACTAATGAATCTGCTACTAGGTGGGCGAATCCATCCTGAAAATATTTAATGGCTGATATTCATTATTTTGCTATTAAATGGCAATTTTTTTGTTTTTCATGGTTAAAAAATCGATCAGATCTCTGGTTAGATTCTTTCTTTAAGTTCTATTGACATTTACTTGTAGATAAGATATAAAGTTAAAACATGGAGATAATTCAAAACTTTCCTTGGGATAAAGTTTATTTCGTTTTATTTATGTTCGTTTCCTTAGATCACGCAATCGTTTGAAAGCTTCGGAATTTTCCGCCGGAGATCCTCAACATGTAGCTCAACTTACACAAATGGGAATTCAAATTCAAACAATGGCTGATGGCCGTAAGAAATCAAATATATCTTTTCTTTTTACTTTTATATTTGTCGTTTTGTTTTTTTCACTTAAGGTATTCAATTGATTCATAATTCAGCTAATGCTGCATCAAATGAAGATGCTGACGATGGTCTTATTTTTATACAAGAAATGATAGAATTGATGAAAAATATCAATGGAATAGGTCCATCATCATTAGAAAATAAAAATCATTTACCATTAGCTGTTATTCCATTAGTAACTCCACCATTAACAAAACTAGTAAGTTTGACTGTTGGTTCTGCTCAATTTGGTAAACAATTACATGGAAAATTAGGAGTAAGTAATAAAATAAAATAATATTCCTATATATTTTTATCTTTTATTCTTCATGTGTTTTAGATATTTGCTCAACTATATGTTGCTCAGCCATTTTCTGGTTGTTCACAAGTATTCGATCCATATCATCTATATTCACGCATTGCTATTGTTCGTCGTGGTGATTGTATGTTTATTGAAAAAGCTCGTCAATTAGAATCTATTCAAGCTATTGGAGGTATTGTTATTGATCATAATGCATCATTAAAATCATCAAATGGTGCTCTATTTTCTATGACGGGTGATGGAAATAATAATGTACATATTCTACTTGTATTAATGTTTAAAGATGAAGCCTTTCAATTATTACATCTTCTATCAAAACAACCAAATTTAATTGTTTATATTGGTGAAGAAAAACATTTAAAAGAAAGTTTTTATCAACAAATGGAAATTTTAGAAAGTTTTCTAGAACCTTTTAATCAAACAAGTAAAAAATTGGTTTATGGAGAAATTGAATTTTTTAAAAAGAAATATTTATGTCCAATTGTACCAATGAAATTAAAACAATTAGAATTAGCTATTCATCAAGAAAATGAACATGTTGAAACTGATATTATCAGCAAATATCCAATTATTCAACTTGAACATGTTATTGAAGCTAGTAAGACAGGTTTTTTTAAAGCAAGATTCTTTCTTTTTGCATTATTTATAGATGAATTTAGAGATGTAGAATAGATGTCTGATTAGTCTTGTTATTCAAGATAATAACTAAAAGATATTTCTCCCATATTTTTTGAAACACAATCTAACAGAAGTGTTGAAGTATAAGAATAAAAATTTGGAGTCATCCTCCTACGTTTCACAGACTGTGACAGATATTGTTGATATATAATCAAAGACCGTAATGAATAATGTCTCGTTACTTAAAAAAAGGCTTTTGAAGTCTTAATATCAATCCCATTATTGATAAATAAAGCTTCATATATGCTTACTATGCCATCGATAGAAAATTTCATTTAGCGATGAACGTGAGACTCATTACTTTGGGGCGGTGTCTTCGTATAGGTTTGTGTCCCACCAAAGGTTGTAATCATGCTCTATTTCTCTTCAACTTATGTGAGGAAAGGATTTGCATATAGATACTTTTTAGCTACTAGTAGCAGTACTTGTGATAACTAGTATATATTTAAAAAAAATTAATGTAGAAATGATGTATCCCAACTGAAATAAGACATAATAAATTTTTCTATTTTTCATATCGTTTACTTTTCTTATAACATAGCACTAGCTGTCTTCATTCGTGACAGTGCTAGCAAGAATAAGAGTGAGTAAGCTAACTCGTTACTATATCCTCGGCGTTCATTTTCAGGACGCAAGAATGTAACATCAAGAACATATATATATACTGGCAGATGGACTGACTGAATGGTAAAAAAGAAAAAGAAGTTATTCTAGTTTCTATTAGCAAAGAAGTCAAACAATCTGTGTATAAAATTTGTGCCTTAACTGTTGCAAAAGAAAGTTTTTATTTTGAAAGTTTTTACATTAAAAAAAATGCCCTAACATTTCGTACTAGATATGTGGACATGTACGATTAGATTTTGTGCACCTGAAAAAACCTCCGAATTCTCAAGCATTAAACAATGTGACATTCTTAAAAAGATTTTTTCCTGAAATTGTCATTATATGAAACTAGCGAGAGCCCGTGCATACTGCACGGCTGTTTGTTTTTCCTCTCACATATGACAACGGACGTTTAACTTTTCATCCGGTAACGGACATACAGACACTCGCTATTATGTATATGGATAGGTAGCCTTACGGCCTCATACTCTTACATCACACATAATTTGATAGTCCATTAGCCTTCGCCCTTATATCCCTGGTAGCTCTTGTAGCATTATCCCCTTCTTGCCATACTCCCTTCAGGACCTATGGATACCCCCACATAATAGCCCTCGAGAACCTATGGTTATCCCCATATAATAGCTTCTGAGAGCCAATGGGTACCTCCATTGGACAGCCCTTGAGGACCTATGGATACCTCTATATAATTCTCTTGAGGGCCTATCGGTACCTCCATAGTATAGCCCTTGAGGGCCTATGGGTCCGCATAAATAGCCCTTGGGCCTTCTCCTTATAGCCTTATTTGACCTTTGACCCGGCACAGAGAAACTGACAAACACTGAACATTATATATATAGATTATAATAACATACTCGATAATTCTGAAAGAATTAAAATATGAATCACAATAGAGTTTTGACAATAAGACATAAAATATTTTCAACTATTTGAACATTATGAAAACATTGTCATAAAGAAAAAAATATATAAAATTTTAATAAAGTATTTTTTAAATGGAAGCAAATGATGTTATAAATGAAATTCAACGCTGAAATTATCTGCTGAAAACTAGAGTTTCACTGATGCTTCTATGTCTTACATCGTTGAAGTATTTGTAATAAAAGTTTGTTGTTTTTTTAATTTCTTTTAGACGAAAATAAATCTGCTGAAGAAATAACTTCTGAACTGTTCAATAGTCTTAATATAACAGCAGCAAGTTTCGGTGGTCAATTAAATAACATTGATACATATCGTTCAGCACTTGATAAAATAATTCGAACAGCTCTTGCTAATGCTGCTAATGAATCGTTTAAGTCAAATATCACTATCGAACAAGAACAACAAATTGAGATTCCTGTTGAAATTATTACAACAACTAAAGAAGAAAATCAACAACAAACAACAACGACAACACGAACAACTGACACTCGAGAATATACAGAAAAAAGATCAAAAATAAAAGATATAAATTAAGTAATATGTTGCATAATTTGTTTTTTAAATTTTATTGTATCGCCGGTGGTGTCTGATTATTATTGCGGTTCCATTTTCACTTGTTTTTCTAGTCGAGTTATTAGTTTCAATGGGTATATTCTATCGAAAAAAAAATTTCCGTAACCAAATAAAAATCTATTTGAGTTTTGTTCGACAGTTATTCTTTTCATTTGTCTTCTTCCTTTGTTTTTTGTTATTAATAAAATATATCGATGACGCAAAGAAAAAAAAACTCCATGAATATATTCTAAACCTGGTGAAGTCAAATTATTTCATTTGTATATGTTGACTTTCAAGAATGAAAAATAAATATCACTGATCTATTTTTCGATATAATCTATTCGATTACATCGACTATATCATTAAGCTTCATATTGCAGACAAACATATATAACGTTTGTTTAGCCATGTTTCATACCGAACTACTGTTTTGCTAATTTTTGAAATTAAATATGAACAATGGAAGCATCAGTTTCCTTATATTTTATTCATTGTTATAAAATCTAGCTGTTAGTTGTCTGACTATGTGACATTCACTTTTAATAAAAATAGGATAAAAGTAAGATAAAGTATTGATAGAAATCAATATTCTGTACATGTGCTTAATGGTCGAACATTATGGTATGATTGTTCTAGTGACGTAACCGGAATTTTGACGATAGCAAGTTTAGGACAGAAGTTGGTGTTGTTCGGTGAAATATGACAGTATTAACCAAATAACTGTCTTTTCTTTTTCTTCTTATTATGTGGGCGTTACTTTATATTTGCGGTTTCTTTATTTCCTAGACTTTTTATTGCAATCGTTTTTTTCTTTATGCTTTATTTTTTCATTTCTCATTAGTAACCACATCACTATTATCTACTTCAAAATAAAAGAAGAGTGGTTATTTTTGGAATAACTTTTGATAACAACAAGATATTGATATGTGGTTTTCACTTTTTAACAGGTGAAATGAAACTGCGTCGAACTGTATATACCAGATTTTTCTGACAGTTTCTCTCAGAGTCTTCCATCAAGTTTATTAAAAACAAAGCATTGTGTACTGTAAAAGTTTCAGGATTTGAATTTTCAGAAGTACACTAGTATTGTTAACTAAAGATCTATACATTACGTAAGTTTGAGACTGTAAGGTTTAGCCAATCATGAGTTATAAATATTTTACTACATGTTGTCGGCAGATTTTTCACAAAAAATTTACTTTTTTTTCTGATTTTTTCTGAAAAGTCCATCTTATAAACCTATTTAAAAGCCTTGATTTTAAAAAAACTTGGCAGGAAACCCTGAGAAAACTTGTCAAAAAATTTGATATACACGATTCGGTGCAGCTTTACCTTTTCTATTAAACGGTGAAAATCGCAACTCTTTATCTTGTACCTATCAAAAAATATTCATTCTTCTTTTATTTTGAATGAATAATAGTTTGCAATACCATGGTGAATTCTGCTTGTAATATTATAACATCCGTTGCAAGATACTACGCCGCTTCACTACGATTACCAGCACTTTGAAATGTTATGTATCAACGATCAGATGCTGTCATCAGAGGATCTGGTCGTATACATATTTCATCTAGGAAATAAAAACAAAATATTTCAATTCCACAGGATCCAAGAGGGCAATGATCAAGACATTAGCAAAAAACGAACGGTGTGAAAGGAAATTGACTTCATCAACTTATAGGAGACCCATGAGTTAGTTTTCAAACGATGCGACCTAACCTATGAATCCATGGATCTAATATCTAAAAGATGCATGCTCTATCTTGATGCATCGAATGCGGATTATTATTCATCGATTGAAAAGTACTAAGTCGGTAATATCTGAATTATAAATTACAATTACATCGTATAGGCACGTTCGATGATTATCTTACGTATTCGTCTGTACATTAATATGCAACATTCATTTTCCTGAAATTAAATCTCAAAGATTTGCTATTCAATACCTCTGATGAATATCTTTACATAATTCCGTTTGATAAAATCCAATGGATAGAAACTCTAAACGCAATAGACAGCTTGTTTTATCAACGGAAACTAAGTTCTGTCAAAAGATGCTTGTTCATAGCAATACTTATTGCGCATTCTACTAATAGTCTGTTTATTGACAATGAAAATCAAACAACCCATTTGTGTTTCAAATTAAATCCAAAGAAAACAAATAAACACAAAAGATCAATAGACAACACAATTGAAATTCTTGTAGAGTATCTCTTCGAAACAGGAGTAAGTGTGAATGTAGAGAAGTTACAAACATCAACGAGCACTCACACTTACACCACATCTTCATGTCTAGTTTTAGGAGAACTAGCTCAGAAGCAGTCCATGTCATCAAAAGAAAAGAAAATTGTATTCGCTTTTATTGTGTAGCATGGGCAAGATGCTGGGCTACTTGCTCACCGTTCATATTCCAACTGACATTCAGTGTGATTAGTGTCTATTTACAAGAAATAGTAAATGGTAGATAGAAAAGGCGGTGATATTACCTGGTTTTGCTCGAGAGCTTTGACAAGGTGTTGTGCTTCTTGATCACCGATTTGATTGCCACCGAGTTTCAGTGTTGTTAATGTCTGTTTTGAAAAGACAGTGTATGATACATAGGAAAGGTAGGGATAATTACTTGGTTTTCTTCGAGAAATTCGGCAAGACGTTGTGCTCCTTGTTCACCAACTCGATCCCTAATAAGATCCAGTGTGGTTAGTATCTGAATATGCGAATAACCTGATGCTCTTAAAAGCTTGATATAGAAAAAGGGAAATTTCTTATTCGAGGAAAGAGATGTTCATGCTGTGTGACACTCAGTGCACTCTTTTCCTCACTTTCGTTTCAAGAATGATCTTTGAAATAGAGTTTTCAAGTATGATCTGTTTAAGATTCTTTAATTTATTGTCACCCAAACGAATGGTTCTCGTTTCCATGGGTTTTGGGTTATTACTTGTCGCTTTTTCAAACTACCTTCGACTATCGTCAATTGTCAATCACAACTTTCGAGTGGATATTAAAGCATCAGTGAGTTTCAATAAATTGTCAAATTTCCTCGATTCGATCTAGGAATGGGTAGTTAGCCATAGAAATTATTGTAATGAGACAGTATAAAGATTGATACCTTAGATAAATCAATAATGTGTTGAAGATGATTAAAATTAAATTTTCAGATGTATTTGTTTTACCTGGTATCGATAGTAGCTGTCGACAATTGTATTCCTACATATACAAACGTTTCGTGTGGAGCATAAAATATCGAAATCATTAAGATGATCAAAAATTCGGTAGACGAGTTCTACCGGTAATGTAAGAAGTGTTGGAATAATTTTGGTTGACATGAATGAAAAGTTTTGAGATATTTGGAATGTTGAATATATGCTGGGTTTTAGTGGCTTTTTTTTTTGGTTTAAGTGAGGGTACTTGTTCACTTTCGACACATCCCCTCACCCACACTCTTTGATGTGCGTGTGTTAAACACGCCAATTAGTGTATAGAGTGTGTTTAAAGTGAACAAGCACCACCAATCAGGTCGAAATAATCGAATCATATCTAAAGCAAGTAGTTGTAGACAACATTGCATCTAAAACTTTATCATTGTGGCTCTTCTTGAGTTAAATACTGTGTGATGATATAATCAATAGCTCTGAGAAAGTACATTTAATACCATCGACAAATCCACAAAAAAGAATGGCTCTAGAAACTTTCTCATCGGCATCAAATTTTGTTTGAGCTAATGTTATGTAGAATATTTTGTTGTATTATTGTCAAGATCGTGAGAGCGTTTTTATGCTGCTTCAAATGTCAATCAATAGCTTTCGTTGACTACTATACAACGCTATTATAAAGTGTAATTTGAAAACATCTGATTGCTAAGCTTGATTGTCGTTAATATTAGATGGTTTTTTTGAGTGAACGAAACAAATATATAGATTTTCAAATTCTATTGATGTGTTTTGCTTTTGTTAAAGAGTAGACATTACTCTACGTTTATATTTAATTGCATACGATGCAAGAAAAAATAGATGTTAAATTTTATTTTCAATATAAAGACAAAAACTTTTCTGTTCAAATAGATTTTCGAGTTTAATTAGTAAAAGTCGTCTGTTTGTATTTTATTATTGTTGTTCATCACCATGACCATTTATCATACGTTAGTGTTAAATGTGACCACTACCACCAGCACCATCACTCAATGAATCATTATAATATTAATAATTTTAAATTAAACCCATTTTTTACCTGCTACTGGTAATATCAATGGAATTTTTTTGTTAATGATTTTTACAAAGTCGAAACATCATTCGAACAAAAAAAAACAATTTTTTTCTTTATTTTGAAAAAATAAAGTTCAATATGAACGTTGTCTTCAATCGTATGTAATTAAATATTGAACAAAAAACCCAAGAAGAAAGCGACGTACTCTCGTATTTCTTGAAGTATAGGGGGTATTCGGAGTACACGAGGGCGTCGCTTTCTCCTTCGATGATAATCATAAAATATAGGATGTTCAAAAAATCATCGATCATAAAGAACATTACATATCTTCGCTTTATCAATTAGAAAGAAAAGCTCCAAACTTTTATTTCATAAATCAACAGCTGATCGACTATGTTGAAATCTATCATGGCCTAATTTAATATTGACTTCGATCTTTGTTTTTTCTAAGTACTTTCAATCAATAGTCAATCACAAAGAACGCAAATGTATTTAACAACTTTTTTTACTGGTCTTTTCCATAAAGAAAAACTTTCTGTCTATATTAAAATCTAATAGCTAAGTTCGAAGTTTATCAAAATCATCTTTCAAATAATTAAAATTAATCTCTCATAAAAAAAAAAAAATGTTTTCTGTAACTTATGCAACGTATAAAAACACAAAAAAAAAATAATAATTACATAAAAACAAACAAACAAATAGTAGGCATAAAACAACATCATTGTTTGTGTTGTTCTACTATTTAATCATTTCTTTAATAAGTTTATCAATTGTTTGAT